GTCATGCTTACATCTGTTTTTTTAAATAACTACATAAAATGATATAAAACCAAATTGATGGTTTGTGTCTTTTCTGTATTCTTTATTCTTTACACAAATTAATCTCCTGACATAAAACAAACACAAAACACTTTTTAGGATAGGTCAAAAAATCCAAACCTATCTTCACACAATGGATGCCTATTAAAAAAAGTTTTTTTTTCCTCGTCATGCAATACATGGAGTTAAGATCAATGTTTTCTCTTTTTTTAAAAAAAACAGAAGAAATGTTGGTTTAAAGATATTTAACAGTAAATAAACCTTTAAAACTATTTTAGCACAGAAGGCATTATCCAGTCATTCTTTAAGGGGAAAATTTTTTTTTCAGTGTTTCACTTCTCTTCCGTAACTGTTTTTGCACGTGTTTGACAGAAGGAAGAGGTGGCGCAAAGACAGACAAGTATAAGAGAGGACAGTGGTGAGTTAATGACAACTGATTGAAGTGCATGAAATGTTAATTATTCTAAAACCATAGATAGACAGATGCAGACTTACACTAAACATCTGTAAGTCTGATAGTAGAGAAGCTGGTCCTAGCTGAGTACCAACAACTCTCTCTTCAGTTAAATCTGAACCAAACACACAAGGTCTACAAGGCTGAGAGGGAGTAACAATCACTGCAACGGTAAATTCTATAGTACATGACAGCACAAAGACACGGGAAGAAAAAGTGACAACAGGTAAACGTGATGTAGGTGGAGGTCATGGTCAGTCTCTAAGGGAAAGACTTTGTGCAGAATTCGCAATTAGTGTATTTAAGTTGTGTTTGTATTGTGTGCATAAGAACAAAATAATGTGTGTGAGCTTACAGGATGCAGCATGCACTATTACTAGTTCAATTTAATCTGAATGACTAAATGGTTAAAATACACCAACATAAAAAGACAGAGTAAATGTTCAAGCTATCAAACAAAAGAAAATGTACGAACTTAAATATTTCTTACCAATCAGCTTGTCAATGTATTACTAACAATCACTTTTATACTAAGTACTTATAAGTAACAATGAATGCAAAGATAGTCCATAAACACTTTTAAAATTAACAAATTTTGAGCATATAACCTGTATCACAATATAATAACATCTATTAAACAGATGTTTGATCAGCTGGAAGTTACATAGTTGAAATTATTACCATGTCAACCAGCATGGCTGTGGTCAAACAGAGATCATTAGACATCACTTAAAAAACTTGCACCAGAATATCTCCCCTATCAGAGTGATAGATAAAGTATAACAAGTAGTTGTTACTTAAAAAAACAAAACGCTGATCTTGAACAAATCTGCGCTTTCCATTATATTATGGGGACATGTATTTTAAGCTCTAGACCAAAATACTAAATTTTGCTCTACAAGGGCCTGATATCCACTTACGATGGCATTATAGTGCCACTGTTCAATTGAGATTTTAAATGAATATCCTCATATGTGCATCTCATTTTTGTCAGAAACAAAAATCAGGAAAAAAAAATCTGGTAATTCTTTGTTTTTACACTCATCAGGTCCCAATATGCCCAAATATCAAAAAGAAATAAAAATGCATGCCATGGAAGAGTTCAAGTCTCAAGAGGTTAATGCTCACCTGCGGCAAAGAGATTCTCTTCATTTTTCCTGGTTGGCTCTTGATCATGATCTTGGTCTTTCTTTGTGGGATGCACAGCAAAGCGATGATGTTGCTGAAGTCTAAGGAGGTTCTCTTGAAGCCACGGTCCATGTGTTTCCCTCAGAGAGTTTAACAGGACCTCCCTGCTCTCTGACAACAGGTTTCTCCTACTGATCAACGGAAGCTTCAGACGTTGACACAAACGTGCTGCTACTGCACTGACAAACTTCGTTACATACTCTGGATCTTGTGTTCTGTCCTGTATCTCACAGCTGTTAGTAGTGGCTGAACTGGAGAGTTTAAGTGGGCTTGTGGTGAGACCATGAGTTTGTATCTGCTGAACAGGGGGCTCCTGGTTCTTTGGGGTTTGCACAAGAGTAGAAATCACACTTTTCTTTGCATTTGTGTTGAAAGTCTTAATATTGTCTCTGTCAACAACTGGAGTCAGCAGTGATTCTCTGCTGTTTTCAGACATGACACATGCCCACTTGGTTTCTGTTGTTAGTACATCGAGGAAGCTGTGTTTAGACCAGTGGCTGCTTTGAAAACTTCCACATGAAAGAGCGAGTTGTTGTTGTGGTTTCTCCCCTGTTGTGACATCTGACTGCTTTGACTCAAACTGGATGTTTTTCTTTTCCTTCTCTTGGCAGTCAGTGTGGGCTTTTGAAGCAGGGTCTGTATTTTTTCTGAATGGCACACAGCTCCCAACATCTGTATCAGCTCCCAACAAAGCATCAGTGGACAGTGAAGCAGAATTGTGCGATGCTGAAGATGAATGTGAAATTACAGTGTTCTTTTCTTTTCTTTGTTCCTCCAGTTTTGGCTGTTCACTTAGCAAGCGTTCAAAATCAATAGACTTCACCTCATGGTTAAACAGGCCATGGTGTCTTGTCAGGCGGCCGTCTGTGATGATACTGGGCTCCTGCACAGAGCGCACAACACTTGGAAATGGTGGATTTCTCCTTGAAGAACAATGGCAACTAGCACAACAGCAGTTATGCAAATGTGCCATGTCTATGTTGCTTTGGCAATGACGGTGGTGATGATGATGGTGATTTGACTTGATTTTTGAAGTCTCTTTCCAGCCACCTCTTATTTGACTCCTCTCCTTGCGGGTCTTCAGTCGTTTCATTTTTTTCTCCTCATTTGCCTTACTGTAATGGGTTGAATATCTGGGAAGAGCAGTGAATCTTTTTGCAAAGCAACACTTTTTATCTGTTGTTTTTCTTTCTTGTTGAAAATTGTTGACTTTTCCTTCTTATAGAGGTCCTGCCACACACATGGCTCATGCTGCATTCTATTCTGTAGAAAAATAACCACAGTTAGTAAAGAAGGCTTGATAATACAGGTTGTGGTTGTACCTCATTGAGGTCGACTCTAGTATTAAAATTAAGAGCAACTTACCAATGATTCATTGAAAGTGACTAAATATAAATTTGAATGTGGGCTTTGACTTGAACATGTATGTAGACCATACATAATACAACTTTCTAAGCACTTCATAAAAATAATAAGAAAGCATGTAACATACTTGCCATAGTTTAGCAGAGATAGATAAAGTATGAAAAATGTCTCCTTTACATTAACATTATTTGTGCAATTAAACCCTGAAGTCAGGATCATTTCATGTACAGTAAAAACTGTAAGGAAATTAATTTGCATGACATTTAAAATCATATTAAACTACAGACACAAAATCATTCCAACATATAATGTATTATTTGACCTGTTCCACAACCACAAGAGTTTCACCATATATGTGCAGCTGTACACACTGAAAACTAGGTTTCGAGAAAAACATTTCACATAAATGGGGGGGAAAAAGACACTGAGCAGATGGGCCTATTGCAGTCAGACTTTGAGCACTTTAAGTACCCCTTCAGATATTTTTGCACTTTTATAGCTGTGGTTACATTTCTCTGTGCATGCATGGTTGTAATTATTTATAACGTTTGTAACTGTATAGATACTGAATAGTAAGGTGAGTTGAGCTGACTACACCCATCAAAGTTGCCTGTCAAGTTCATATGGTCTGCTGTTAACCCTGTGTAAAAAAATAATAGTAATAAAAATAAAAACCTTAAAAAATATATAATAATAAAAAATATGTGCAGTATTGAGATGACTGTAAGTCAAAAGTACTGCTTATAATATATGTGAATGTACTTATTTCTACTCTGAATGTCTGGGGGGAAAAGCCCCGGACAATATCCTGTATGCACACAAAAAAGTTAGAACTTATACTTCTGTTTGCCCTGTTGGGCATTCCTACAGCCTGTCATCTGCCTCCATCTCACCCCATCCCACTTCTGTAAGACCAACCTGCTACTTTCATTACATCCATAAACCTCCTCTGCAATCATCCTCTTTTTTCTTCTGCCTGGCAGCTTTATCTTTAACATGCTTTGCCCGTTGTGTCCACTATCCATCCTCACCATATGTCCAAGCCATTTCAACTTTGCTTCAATGTCCCTCCTAGTCACTCGCAACTAAAATTTTAGAATCTTCAGCGCCACCTCCCGTTTTTTGTCAGTGCCACCGTCTCCAAACCATACATCATCGCAAGTCTTGCTAACATCATCTTAACTTTCCTTTTCTATTCTTATGTCGCCAATCACACCTGACACTAGTGCCCACCCACTCCACCTCGTCCACAACCTCTTCATCACTTCCTGTGTGGACTGTTCGTTGCTTTGGATGGTTGACCCCCAGGTATTTTAAACCCAAATCAGCTCTAACTAATACTGAAACTTAATGAAAACTGAACTAAAACGAGCAAACTAACTGAAGATAAATTGAACTGTTTAAAAAAAATCTATACACATACAACTTATGTCTGAATTATGTCAGCAAACTAACTTGGAGATTAGCAAGCACCTACTATCCCCAGGTGTAATTTAAGGTGACACGCGGTGCATGAAGTCAAAGCTGTAGCTGCTTAGAAGCGAAAAGTATTTCCAACTTTAGCAAACTGTAAATCAGTTAAAACCGTAAATACATGAGAAAAAAATAAATTTAAAGGAAAAATAATTCATTAACATAGTTTCTACTTACCAAAGTCGTTAACAACTGCTTAATTTTACCGCACACCGAATGTGTCGTTGCACGGCAACACGCAGCCGTTGCGTTTTTTACACGCAGTGATAACGCCCAAGAAAGCCCACGAGTTGGACGAAACTACTGTCACAAAACCAGGGGTTACACAGTATCAACTCTGCTCCATTTCTCTACTTATGTAATCCTTTATTTTTTACATTCTCATATCACATTTTGCACACCACAATTTTATATGTTCAAACGTCGGAAAATTAAAATATCTAAAACCATACCGGTTGCTGACTACTCATGATAATGGTACGCTCTGCTGTGCTGAACCTCACTTCCGGAAAGTGATTCGGGGGACAACAGTGTTTTTGATTTAGTGGTATGCTATGATAAGTTATACCTCTTAATGCATTCATTATGCTAATCTCTACTCTTTTCCATTCTGCAGAGCACAGGGCTATTTAATTTCACAATTTCTCTTATCTTTGTTCAACTACATCTCTTATGTGTTCCAGCATGTTGAGCTAGCTATTGTAGCTAACTTTGTTAGCTTCCACAGATCTCTCAAGCGAACAGAGCTATGGGCTATTTATGAATTGGTTTGTATACATTGCTGAAAGTGTGAAGAACTCAATGCGACTGTTTTCCCAACACAGGTAAAGCAGAATGAGTGCAGGAGAACCAAACCCAGCCGCCACACCCACTCCCTGTGAAGACACGCAGGGAGATGGACGATGGATGTCTATGGTGTGTGACTTTCATATTATTTATAGGTTTTATAAAGTACGGTGTTATATTATTCCGTTTGCATCGTTGCTGATGTTTAGTTTTGCAATCATTGAAGATAAAGGGAAGCTTCATAGTTGAAAAGAGCCAGCTACTAACATATTGTAGTACATATTGTTGTAATAATGGCCTTCATAAATTATTTAAACCTGCCTAATAAATGAAAATGCAATGGATTGTGAGGGGTGTGCAGTTTTGCAATTGATTGTGAAAGAAAGGAGAAAAGTCTTGGAAAATTTGTATTTTTTCAGACACATGGGAATATGCATAGATATTTCATTAATTGATTTAAAAAAAACATTAGAAAAATATGCTCAGTTTTCTCTATCCACATAACAGCGCATTCTAAATACATTTTTGTACCTGGACTTGTCATGTAAAAATCAAATTGCTGGTGTTACATTCAAGACTGCACTGTGATGATACCAAAGTGTTTCTAGAAAGTTGACTTGCCACTCGTTAGCCTTTTGGCATTGCCATCGGGCATTCATTTGGGTAGTTATTTTAAAGCATGTCTCTAAATGAACACAAATGTCAGTAGTCACCAGAAAATCAAAAGAAACATACCATGCTGATTCTTAAAAAAAACACAAGGTTTTAAAAGGTTTGTCTTGCAATATGTGCGGATGTTGTGCAATGGTTGGTACTGTAGTAAAAATACATATACATCTTTTACATTTTCTTTTTGCAGCACAATCGGTTTGTGTCCGACAGCAAAGACAAGGAACCTGATGTCCTGTTTGTTGGAGACTCTCTTGTTCAGCTCATGCACGAGTTTGGGGTAAAACAAAGATTGCATTGATATGTGTGCCTCTGTCCATTATGTAACTGATTTATGTTTTCTCATAAATGTTTTCAAAGTGTGAAAACTTGTTGTGGAACATGTGAATGCAATATTATTGTGGTTTGTCTGCAGATATGGCGTCAGTTGTTCTCACCTCTCCATTGCCTTAATTTTGGGGTGGGTGGTGATGCAACACAACATGTGCTGTGGCGACTGAGCAACGGTGAACTGGATAACATCAGCCCAAAGGTTCAAAACAGTGCCAGAAATAGAGAACATGATCATGCTTGTTTATTCACACAAAAGACTAATTGTGCTCAACTCTGTGTTAAAATCCCACTTCCAGGTACCTTGGGTCAAAATATCAGTGACATGTGTTCAGTCATGCATTGCTTTGTCTTTTGTTGTTGCAGGTCGTAGTGCTGTGGGTAGGAACTAACAATCATGGTCACACTCCTGAACAGATCTGTGGAGGCATCTTGGCTATTATCCAAGTTATCAAGAACAAGCTTCCCAATGCCCACACGCTTGTACTTGTACGTGTTTTTCCAAATCATTCCTTATATCGGGTGTTAATCTGCTCACCCGCATGTTTTTTGAAAATGACTAATGAAGTTAATTCAACCATCAAAGTATAGTGCGATGTCACCCCTTTTAGCAGCATCTTAGCTATCTGAAATGAGGTGAAGTGTAAAGTTATGGATGCTTCTTCATAGGCTGGAACTTTGATTATCTGTGAGCCATTTCACGTAGTATATTCAAGGATTTTAAATATACACTGCAGACATTGCTCATAAGAATAAGGGCTTTGAAGTATTTTGTTCTGAGGCCCATTTGGAAAAACAGTGCAGCACGCACTCTACAGGCATGCTCTTCAACGAGTCTGCAGAGAATAGCAGCTTGATGGGAGCTGTGTAGAAGCTACAATCGCTGCTGATGCTGTTGCAACTAAAGTTAGAGACTGAAACTGAAATATTTTAGGTACTCAGAATAAAACGAAACTTTTAAAAATTTAATGCTAACTGAAAAAACCTTTTTTTGTGAACCTTGGAAACTAATATCAAATGAAAATACAGAGGAACTCTTTTCAGCTTGAGTCTTTGCCAATTTTGTAGAATCTATCAATGCAAGTTGTCTGAGCCTGTGGTGAATATGTTTATTGAGACTGGGATGAGTTACGTGTATTTATGACAGGTTATATGTATTCTAATAACTATTCCAAAATTCTTGAATTCATTATCTTGCTATAATGATCTCCTCTTTAACAGGGTTGGCCAGTCTGAACAAAACTAACATCAGATCACTAACATCTATGTTTTGTTTTTTTAAAAGACTTAATACTTTGCGTTTGTTTCATGTGCCATCTTCGATGTATGTCACCTGTATGTAAGTTAATGGTTTAAGAAAATTGGATCCGCAGTAGAATTATTTTCAAGTCACCACTAAATACAGAAAGAAGAATTAGAAAAAGTGCTGCAAACCTGGTTAACTCTGGTAATTTAAAAAAAGACTGAGATTTTCAGACAATAAAAACTAAACTGAAACGGCAACGGCTTAGAAAATCTGCTTAAAAATCAACTGATGCTATATTGTATTGTATGTAAATGGATATCTTAGATTGTTTGGATCAGAAGGTTTTTTGCTATATGATATGTAGTTTAAAGTAAACCAGAAGAGTCTCTGCCTGGTCAGGTGAATGTTGGAGGGCCAAAAAGCTGTACTTGTTTCAGACAGGTCTGAAGTTTAACTGTATTAATTTACTGTATATGTACTAGGGACAGAAACTTAATTGGAAATTCAGCTAACACACAGATGAGTAAGTTATGAAATAAGGTATATGAAACATTTAAAAATAAGTATGCTAATGTTTCTTTTCCAGAGTTTACTGCCCAGAGGAAAAATGCCAAACCCTCTACGGGAGAGAAATGCCAAGGTGAACGAGCTAGTAAAAGACACCTTAACATCTCTTCCCCGTGCCTCCTTCTTCAATGTAGACCCCGGCTTTGTTCACTCCAATGGTAGCATCTCCCACCAGGACATGTACGACTACCTTCACCTGACCCCGAAAGGATATCAAGCTGTATGTGAACCTTTGCATGCCCATCTTAAGGCCCTGCTAGGTGAACCTACTGACAACTGAGCATCTAGGTCACAAAAGTACACTACCACAGTGGTCCTTGTCCCTGTTTCAAGAAACCATTGCACTTATATTATTAAGATGTGTAATGATGGATAGAATCAGTTATTGAGGGCTAAGAGCTGCATAAACTATTTGTGGAAGACCTCTTCAAGGCCTTGGTTGGTGACCACTGTTAAAGACAATGTGACCATACGGTTTTTGTTTATATGAATTGACAAATCCCTACTTCCATTCCCAAT